ATATATTAGCTATTTATCTTGTTATGTTTTTCCTCCGTAACACACCATCTTCCGGCCATGCGAGACAAGGGTGTTACAATCTCAATCCAACCCAGTTCAAACAAAAGTACAATCCAACTAAACCCAACTCAAACCTTGTGAGTTAGGTTGACCAAGTTAAAACATTGATACACCTTTTTACAATAAAACTAAGCAGCTGTTTTAAAAACGAAGTAAAACCGAAATGAGGAAATACAAATAAAACTAACAATTACGTAAGAGAATAAAGCTAAATGTGTTTAAAAATGGCTGAAATTGTGGTATAATTATGAGCATTAGCCAACGTTTAATGTAAATATATTAATTAAGGTTAAAAAATCACATTGTATACATGATATTGAAAGACATTGGGTTCAAATAAACATAAGTTAATTCTAACCTAATACCTACAGTTTGAAAATTTTTACAACTCAATAAGATATCGAGTTACGATTGGGTTGAGTGGGTGAATCGGGTTTTTGACTTTTGTACACCCATGGTACTAGACATGGCCCTATCAGCTCGACCCAGGCCGCTAGTGGACCGACCCCACCCGAGATCGGTTATGGGACCACGGTCACCCGGTCCGGGATTAGTAAGGACCGATTATAGGATCGCGGTTACCCTAACTGGATAAAAAACCTTAAGTGGGAGTCACCATATGCGACAGGACCGGGACCAGTCCGGATTGGGTGGCCTTGGCCTGGCCCGACTCAGGGAACGGTTTTTGGCCATGTGATATTGAGTAGTGATGGCCAAATCGGGCCGGGACCCGTAAAGACCGGTTATGGGACCGAAAATGGGGACCGGTTGGGGTTTTTGGCAGTTTTGTGGGACCGGGACCGGTTATGAACCGGCCTGGTCCGGCCCGAAAATTAAAATAATTTTATAAATAAATGTATTTTTAAATAATTTTATAATATATTTTTTTAAGACGACGTAACTTTAATTATATTAAAATACATTTTTAAAGTGTATTTGAGTGACCAAATTACAAAATTTATAATGTATTAAAAATATATATCATTAAAAAAATTAATTTTTAATGCTCGGACCGGTTGGGACTGGGACGGGGACCGGCGGCCCATAACCGGTTATGAAGAACCTTGATCGGTATTACAATTTTCGACCGGGACCGTGACCGATTATGCCGGGACTGGTTATGGCCGGTTACGAGAAAGTTTGAGACGGAACTGGCCCGGCCCGGCCCGGCCCGGAAACACGGTTTTTGGCCATCACTACGAGTGAGAGTATTGAGACTTGACTTCATGACCTGCAATTGGGCTGGTATCTGGGCCCATTCCACTCGAACATGATCACCTCCTCCACTTTCAAACCCCGCTCTCATGTTACGACTCTCGATTGCGCAATCAGAACCAAAATCCTTGGTTTCAGTCTCTGAAATTTATAATTCGCATCAAAGAGATTTGTTGTGAATCAAACAAAAAACCAATTGAGGTAATAGGAAGAGGAAGATGCGAGGAGAATGTGGAAGGAGATCGGAGATAGAGAATCGGGAAAACTACGCCCTAATTCCTTCATCACTCGTATTCGATCGAATAGAGTATCCTCTCTTCAGCTCTCCAATCACAAAGAGATTGTCTCTCCTCACCGTGGCGCCATTAATTCTCTTCAGGTATTTCTTCTTCTCTTTCTTTTGTACTTTTATTTATTCCAAATTTTTGTATTACACCTTCATTTCAAAAAGGATTTTTTTTACTATATATGTTAAGCACTTGCATATGTGGTGGCACTGGCTTTCTGGGTGTCCTTTGATTCACTTGTATGGAACCACTATGTAGATTCATGACTGCCTCTCATGTGCTAGTGTGCAATTGAAACTCAAGCATATGGAATCATATAGAGGTTTATGATAAAGCCTGCAAATTGCAATATCCGGAATGTCTGGACGAATGCTTGAGTCTATAAATCGCAAAGCCTGAGCTATCAACTATGTTAAGTAACCATCTCATCTATAAGCTAAGTGCAGATTGAGGAATCCACCTTTTTACATAGCTTAAACACTAAGTGCAGCTGTGACTCTAGGCAATGGCGTTCTTGGATCTAGAATAAATCTTTTCGGCTTTTGTTGTGTCAAATCATGGCTTTGTAGCTAGTAGCTACTAAAGGTATTATAGTGATGACAGGATTAGAGAAAAAGCATTAAACTATTATCTGCTTTTGACAGTTCGGCTAGTAGTGAAAGGGAAAATCTATTACCCAAAATTGGTAGATCGCATGCATTTAGCAACAACGGTCTTCAAAAACATATTTATTCCGACTCAGAGGGTGAAATGTGGATCAGTATTAAAAATCATTAATATACAGGTCTTATTGGATGGTAGGAAGTAGGTTTCTTTCATGTGGACTTCAAGGTTCATAAATGAACTCATGCATATCTAAATTTGAACTGCCTTTGCTATAATTTCAATTCCAAGCCATGCCATTTTAGTTCTCCTAGCATGCTTGAACATGATGATTATTCATATACCCACAACTGCTATATACGGTTGAAGATTGTTAACCTATTGGACATCATTGATGTCCAAATGATTGCAAAGATATTAATTACTTCAACAAAAGAATTCCAAAACATTTCAATTAATATTCACATTGACATAAGTAAAACGACAGAAACATTGAATTAATTTAATGTTCAATGACACAACTATTGTCCTCATGGCCTCACCTTTTCTTACCCCTCTTGTTTTATGCCCTTATCTTCTTCTTCACGGAGACCTCCTTGACGACTACCTGTACTTCTGCACATGATTTACAAGTGCCTCTACTCCGCATCTACTTGCAATCCCGCATCTAGTTGCAATCCCGCATCATGTGCAAGAGGTTGTGAATATGTGACATAATGTTGGACATGCTCTTCTATGTGGTACCTGTTGTGGTCGATGGTGTGGAACAACTACTGTGAAGCAACATCGCTTACTATTGAAGTTACAACTTCCTGGAAGTAGGATCTTATCATTCTGTGTTAGTGGACAAATAATGAAAGTTGGAAGAGAGAGACTATCAACCTACACAAGTTTAACATAAATATATAGTTCAAAAAGAGGTGCATTGATGTCAAAACCTCCATTAGGATGTCTCTGACAGACAAGTGGTAGGGTTAGCAGTTGATTTTTTTTTTCTTTTTGAACATAGAGAAGGATTGTGGAATAATTAGACTTGGATAAAAGAAGCAAGTAAGGCAGATAATTCGGTACAATAAAAGAACTCTTGGTGTAGAAGCATAAAGAGATGTGGCAGGGGAAACCTTATGTGTGACTCTTTACTTTAGATAGGAATATCAAGAGAAAAAAATATGTAACAATTTACAATAATTGACAGCTCCTGAAGATTTAGAAACACATTATGACAGAGGATACAAGTCCCCACGTGCACCACATAAACAACAGCGGTATGGTCATTACATAGCTCCAGAATATGTGTTAGGTTACTCTGCTCGCATAGCTTGTTGCATATAGTCTTTGGATAAAAAATGATTGCAACCTCATATTCTATATAGTACTTTTACGACCTACAGTTGAAACTCTATTAATTTGTACTTGATTATTTAATAATCTTTCTTAGATAATATTTTTAATCGGTCCCAACTTGTGGATAACGTGCTAAAGTAATAATTCGCTAAAATTATAAGATAATACATTTTTGATTACTCATATATACCCCATGCAAAGTATAAACAAATAGTTCCTTATATATTACATTGAATGATTTATGAAGACTTCTTGAAAAATCACTCAATTGTCTTTTGTTTTTTTGTTGAAATCACTGTACATTGAATCTCATCTCTAAATTTTCTTATCATTGTTTTTTGGTGTTATTTTTTAAGAAATTATTCAATGTGATTGCTATTTACTGCCTTAATAGCGTTGTTGAAGGGGGATCTATTGTAGAACTTTCATCATCACCTTTATCAGTCCCCACAGCGCCCTCAAGTATTTCTTCATCAGCCAACAACTCTCTCATAAATATAAATTAATAATTATAAATTTATCAGTTAATTAATATCTTGCTTAATTAATAAATTTTGGTTGTCCCAAGGGCATTTATAGCGATTCAATTGTATTTTCTTTTTTAACATTAGAGATCTCATTACTTCCTTGGGATACACTTCATTTGGTGAACTGGTTCTCTACTCTCGAATGCACCTGAGAATGGTTTCATGCGAATCAGTTTACAACTGATGTTGCTATCAACTCCTTTAACACTCTTTTTCCTCGAAGTCCGTCCTTTGAAAATCATTCCAACATCCCATATCAGCTTGTTGTGTGTCTAATACTTTAATGAGCACTGCTATTATGCTATAATGCTATTATGTAATCTTAAGCAACAAATAATTGAACACTGTACCTCAAATTTGGGGAACACATGTGTGTGCTCCTTTTTTATGAATTTAAGCAAAGATAGTTGCAACACCAGAATTTTGGTGTGTACTAAGCACCCACTACTTGGGAAAAGGGTCTTCATGTGAACTTGTAGGCCGGTTTTTTAGTAAAGTCCCTAATGCTTGCATATGATTAGATTCTCCCCTATATTACGTTATTTGTTAGATATTATCGTGGTCAGTATGTTTGATCATTAAATCAGGTTGATTTGACAGAAGGAAGATACTTGTTATCTGGAGCATCAGATGCATCACTTGCTGTTTATGATATTCAACGTGCGACAGACTATGATGGAGGTGGTCTGATTGCTAAGCATAAGCCCATACTACTTGTTGATAAGCAGCATCAAAATGGGCACAAATTTGCCATATCCACAGCCATATGGTATCCAATTGATACGGGTCTTTTTGTCACAGGTTCGTATGATCACCACGTCAACGTTTGGGATACCAATACCACACAGGTATACATATGGTTCTTTTTATCTTCAATCACAGTGTTTTAATTAGCTAATGCTCCTTGTCATCAGTTACCCGTGTCTTAAATTGACTTTTTGTTATAATGTTTTCTTCTTCATAGGTGGTGATGGATTTCAAAATGCCTGGAAAGGTGTATAGGACAGCGATGTCTTCATTAGCCACGTCTCACATGCTTATTGCCACTGCAACTGAAGATGTTCAGGTTCGGCTTTGCGACATGGCTTCAGGGGCATTTTCTCACACGTTATCGGGTCACCGTGGTATGCTGATGGTGTTGCAGACATGTTATACTTATGTTTAAAGATTATTTTTTTAATTATTTCTTGCGAAATCATTGGCTAATGGAAAACCTATGTCTATATGAATAGCTAATATCTTACTCTACCAAGAGGAGAGATGTAGCATTAGATTACCAACATGGACATATATTGGGCAGTGGATATCTCTGCTCTAGAAGGGGATCACATTATATGTTATTGATCGAAAGATTCTTGATTGTGGTTGGCATTGGCCTTCCCTTTTTCTGATATGTATCATTTGTCAAGTCCAGTCTTACCAGATCTTTTTACTTTTTGTTGCTTATACTGTTCTTATGTTTAACTTCTAACACATGAACTATTTAGAAAAGTTCTAATATGAAAAAAAATTGTATTCCTTATCCTTGGTATGATACGCTCTCTAATCTCAGTTTACCCCTTACGGCTTTTTATGATAAAATGTAGTTTGTTGTAGGGCATGAATCCTGTAAAACCCTTCACATGGATCTTGAAAACTCACTTCTTAGTAATTTTGTTAATGACAGATGGCATAATGGCAGTGGAGTGGTCTACTTCTAGTGAGTGGGTCCTGGTGACTGGGGGTTGTGATGGTGCAATTCGACTTTGGGACATTAGACGTGCAGGATGTTTTTCTGTTTTAGATCAATCTCACTCTCAGCTCGGAAGACGCCCGCCTCTACTTGAGCGGTCCACTACTAAGGTTGCGTTCTTTCATCTACACCTACTGAAAAAAAAAAAAAAAAAATCAGGCCTGCTAGATGTTGAGAGTCACACATCTGCATTTACAGAATAAAAGCAACACATCTGTATAATTGTTCAATTAGACTATCATGGATTCATGGTATCATCATAGGGATATAAATCCAATTAAGTATTATCTGTCGATGGTCTGATATCTGTAGAATGGTCTCTTGCATGTGGACTATGGCGGCATGCATGAATTCTTTCTAATTCTCTAGTGTTTGGAGCCATCCCATACTATGGTATCTGCTAATCATGAGAACTGTTGCATCTACAATCATATTTAGTTGTGGACTAAGCTCATTTAACACAAACCAGAAGGCTCATATAAATATTGTCATTGAAGCAAATAAGAAGTTGATAGAAGTAGCGTAGTGATAACAACAATCATAAAGCTTTCAAAATTGAGATAGTTTGGGTAGGCGCAGTCGACTAAAATGAGATGCAGTAGAAATGTAATGAAGTCTTACGAGCCAAAATTGATGCAAAAGCATGAATAATTCCCATCCACGTTTTTCCTATGTAAGCCAAGTCCTTTGGTATATTACCAATAGAACAAAGCCTTTTCTACTTGTTTCACTAATGTTAATATTTTTCTCTCTCACCTTTTCTAATACCCTTCTCATGGGACAAGTCTCCTGTCCTTCCGGGTGCATCCAGGTCAAAGTTGGGAAACATTTGATTGCCTTAGGTTTCACAAGTGTTTTATTTGAACTGAATGGAAAAGTAAAATGATTTTTAAATGCGGTTGGTGATGAATTGGTGACTTGGTTCAGGGTCAATTTTCTGTTCAGAATTAGTCTTTACATTTTTGCACAACTCTGTAAAGGTACCTCATAACAGGATTAGGTGCTGGAAAGGAAAATTCTTGCCAGATATCCTCTATAGTTGCCAGCTGAGATATTCTGCAACTTTTAGCACTCGGTTTTAATATGTGATGAAGAGAAAAAAAAGGAAAGACGTGATCTCCTAGTGGTCATATTTTCATGGCGAGTGGTGTAGGAATGAATGAAATAAACACAATCATAGTACCAGTATCACATTATGATAGTTTATCTTTCTTGTTTTTCTTTCTTTTCCCCTTGAATGTTTTATAATATTTTACAATGCATGAGATTCTAAGTTGTGCAACCTTTATGGTCCTGAGACAAAATTCTATACAAGTAATATGAGTAAGACTTGAAAAGGTTTAATGTTGAACGGATGTAAGGACCTAATAAGCAAACATGTCAAAGGAAATTGGAGACATTGAGAGGGATTGAGTTCTGTGAAGCAGTATCTGATATTGAGTTTTATTGTATGCTCCGTCTTCTTGTCAGGTTTCAACATCTAAGTGCTCTTTGCCAGGCCAGACTTCATCTGCAAAGGCTCGAGCACCACAGAGAAAAGGTTCTTCTGGGAGTGGTTCAAAACACTCTGGTAGCAGTAGGATTCTCAGGCATGCCAAGGGTTCTGCTAAGCAGAGGCTCCATCCAGGGTTGTTGTCTAGTCAGGATCGTGCCACTGCTCATTATGGTGCTGTTATAGGACTGAAAGCGACTGAAGATGGCATGTATCTTCTAAGTGCAGGTTGAGCCTGATTTGCAAAATAGATAATCTTTCTGATCAAGTAGGTTTACTTGTGCGATAAATATTTTCTAAAACGCCTGGTAAGATACATAGGCTTTTGTTTTCTCAGAAATAACAAAACGCTTATGTTATTTCTAGTTTTAGGTTAATACAAAACAATGGTACATATTGCTTGCCACATCATCCAGAATATGCTAACATTTCATGTAGGTGTTTGATTACCATGGTCATCTTGTAAGGGCCATTTTTTTGACAGTAGGTGGTTAGGGTTTTGGTGGGTCATGATTTTTGAAGCCAACCCTAAACATTTGTATAATCCTTTCTGGTACAATTTATTAGCATAAGAAACTAGTTCATTAATACTTGGGGCATGGGTGTGATTTCTCAAGTTAAGCATGCTTATAAGTACATTATAAGAGATACTGATATGGTTTGTCGGGAATAAATGATTCAGCGCTTTAAGGACTGCAATTTTTGTGCTTACAAGGAGAAGCACCTAATTACATTGTAATCACAAATTTGTGGAATCCTTGGAAATGCTTAAGTCATTTTTTAACCTACCAAATCATATATACTCTCCTAATATGTACAAGTACACATGGTTTTAACCAAATCACAAAAATTCTGTACGTGTTTGTATAATATTAGTGCTTCTATGGAAACAACTTAGGTGTTATCAGCTCACACTACTAATCCCCATCCTCCATTTTATGGGCCCATAACTATTCTCCCTGCATCAAACAAATGGGACTTATGATCACATCTTTGTCTCTCCTCAAACCATTCAAGACAATGAGCATGTTGACTATTATTAGTTTATAGTAGATTTGAACAGCAAATCCTTGTTTTATGACAAGTTTTATACCTCAAATAAGTGAAGAACTGTTGGTTCTTACCTTGAGCAGTATGGTCTCTCACTTCAGAAGGAGTGCTTTATCAGCTTAAGTCTGACTTAGTGGTGCCAGTGCTTGATGTACTAATGGACCAGAAAAGCACTTTGTTTCAGTGAATGGCTGAATGCAAGGTCATTTTTTCCAGCAAGTATCATGATGTCAGTGCTGACTGTTGAGGGCTAAATATATCCACAACTCGATTGATGCTTAATTTTTGCAATATGTTTTAAATTTTAGGGTCTGATTCAAGGTTAAGATTGTGGGATATACAATCTGGCTGCAATACACTTGTGCACTTTGAGATTGTGCGACTACAAAGTAGCAAGGCAATACAGTTGGCTGTGACTCAGGATTCAGCCCTTGTCTTTGTTCCATGCATGACATCTGTAAAAGTACGTCACTTGACACTCTTTAGGTTTCTTGAAGAGTAGAAAACAATAAAGTGAAAATGAGTGTATATATATATAGATATATATTATGTATGTATGTATCTTTAACCAAGTTTTCTGAATGCTCCAGGCATTTGATGTGTGGACGGGGAAGGCTAGCATGACTCTTCACGGACACTATGAGCATGTCAATTGTTGTTGGTATGGTGCCCATGATCAGGTATAGTTCTCTCTCCTCCACTCTGTGACCTCATATGTATGTGCTTACATTTTTCTTACTTCGTACTTTGCAAGAGAAGTACTTTTGGCTCTCTATTTTAATTATCATTCCCACACAAGATAATGAATGTACATGCAGTCAGTCTAATACGACACAAAGTTATTCGAGTAAAGAGGTTGAGTGATTTAATATACTGACACAAAGAACACAAATTTAGGCAGGAATTGGATTTATAAATTCGTGAATGATAACAAAACCAAAGCAACTCGGTAAATCATACTCAAAAGTAGGTTCTGGGAACAGTGAGATGTACTCAGACCTGACCTCTACCCCAACAGGGTAGAGTGGCTGTTCCTGTGAAGATCCTTGGCTTGTGCGAGAGTTTGAGCATATGGTGAAAGAAGCACGGATAAAAAATAAGAAAAGTCGACGGGTAGGTGGACTGAAAACATGCGAAAGGGTAGGACAAGCAGATGAGACACAGAGCAAATAGGTCAAACAGCACATCTCTAGCCTACATTGCTTGCCCTCTATCCCTGACTTGTCTAACTCCCTTGTGGCCAACCATGTTGGCTACAGTCCCTATATCTAGTATGCTATCCTAGTCCTCCGTCTCTGAGTACTTCTATTAGAGGTCATGTTCTCGGAAATATCACGGCCATGTCCAACCTCAATTGCTCGTTCCACATCCTCCTTGGCTTATCCAGTTACCCCTCCTTCTCACCCCCTCGATCATCACCCTTTCTACTCTTCTCACCGGTGTTGTCTTCGGCCTCCTATGAACGTGCCCAAACCAGAGCAGTCTCTCTTCTCTTAATTTATCCGTTAATGGGGCAGCTCCTAGCCCAAAAAAACTTCATTCTGAATTTTGTTTAACCTGGTCCGACCACATGTCCACATAAGCATCCTCATTTTCGCAACTTCCAACTTCTTCTCAACGGCCTTCTTTGTGGCCCAACATTCCGACCCATACAACATAGCTGGTCGGAATGCTACCTTATAAAATTTGCCCTTGAGTTTTAGTAGAACCTTCTCGTCACACCACACCCCTGTGGCAGCTCTCCGTTTGAGCGACCCTGCTTTCATGTGATTCGTTTTGTCTTCCTCTCCCTTTTCCACTCTTTGGATTATGGAACCTGGATACTTAAAAACTGTCCTTTTAGTGAAAGATAGGGTTGATAAAGCTTTTGTTTAACCTTATTAATTCAGGATTTTGGTTGAACAATTTTAAAATCTTTACCATGAGATGATGGAATTTTTTATATTGAGTTTACCTAATTCCCAGTCAAAGTCCTTAGACCTTGAATGTTTGTGTGAAAGTGAAAGTCTTTATATCATTTCTAGATGCTTTGTGCTTGATGAAATTCTTCACCCTCAAGCGCCCTTGCTTTGTAAACACGGCTTAACCATACAATTCTACTATGGCTCGTTAATCCAGCTGACTCAATTGATTTGTGGCATGCTCAATTAACGGAAGACCAATTTATTAATTCAACAAGTTGATTAAACTTAGATCTTTTAGGGGAATATGACTCCATATAGTCCTAAATTATCCATGTTCAATCACAAACTAGAGCAAGAATATGTATGGTGAACAAAAAGTAACATACTCTCATGATAATATATTATAAGAAAAATATGGTTCACACGAGGCTCATTGTCAAAAGGGTTAATCTCAGATATTTACTCCATTAAAACAATGCAGATTAATCGAACACTTCATTGCATCTCTTTGAACATGTGCTTGCAATCAATTCTCTCCACACACATCCCGATGGTGGCAGTATGGTGATGGTGGTATGAAATATGGAGAGGATTCGAGATGCAGGGGGTTATATTATGAGAGGAAAAGGGTCTCGTGGTGTGAGCTCTTTTGCATTTGTAGTGATCTAGAAAGGTGTATATCTAAAATAGAATTAGAAAATAAGGGTTGAGGATTGTTATGGAAATGATTGGGTTGAATTAGAACTAATGGTTTTAGAAGATATGGCATAAAAATATTAAAGATAAAGCACCAAAACCTGGAGCATAATCATGAAATTTGACACAAATCTTCATGTTAATCTTTTGAAACTTGCACAAACAAATCCAACTGTCAAAATTCCTACTAGGGCACATAGTTGTTAGAAGTGCCCCTGAGGCGTGCCTAGGCTCTGAGGCTCAAGGTCTTGGGGCTTTTTTAAAGTCAAGGCTAGGCGTATTCACGAGGCTCACTAAGCCCTGCGCCTTGGCTGAGGCGCCTTGTGGGTCTAGACGCGCCTCATAGAGAGTCATTAAATACAAAGTCAAACCCCAATATTAAGTTTTCTCATCTTCTTATCTCCTAGACTTCTTAAAAAAGAGATATTAAATAGATGACATAAGTCAAACCTAATATTAAATACCCAGTTCTTAAAACTTCAAGCCTCTTTCTCGATAATTACCCAGACCTTAAAACTTCTTCCTCATGGCTCACGCTTTAAAACTTCTCCCTTCTGCCTTTATCGAAGTACTGCTGATTGTTGCACGGTAGTACTTGCTACATATTTGAGTTGTGTACAACTGTGTCTGTGTGTGTGTATATATATACTCTTTTTATACGTTGCGCCTCACATTCCTGAGGTCTGCACCTCATGCCTGCGCTTCACACCTACGCCCCGGGACCCCTTTATGCCTAAGTGTGCCTTGAGCCTTTAATAACTTTGCTAGGGTGTATGGCTAAGCCATCACTAGGCTATTGGTATGCTAGAGGTCTTCAGCCTTTGTTTAAAGTTAAGGAACCAACACTTGTAAATATGCCTCTGCCTTGGTGTTGCTTACATTCATCTATTGGAATGTTCGTCTTTGATGTAATAGGGTATTCAATGTAGCAATACATTTATGGCCTTTAGGTTTTCTATCATGGAGCTCTTTCCAGCATATACTACACCCTCAAAATGCCATGCAACTTCACCCTATTAATTGAACTTTCTACTTGATAGTTAATAAGATAAAAGTATGCTATGGTGGACAGCTCTTCTGTTCATCCAATTTTCATTTCAGATTCAGTCCCTAGAACTCAAAAATCTAATAGCATTGAGAAATATATAAATATGTTCCTTGAAAATATGCACAACTGTAAAGTACAAAAACCGTTCCTGGTCATACACCCATTCTGCACTTCCAGTCACTTGGACATTTTTTTATACTTCTAGTCCGCCAACTCCAAATGGACCAACACTTTCAGTCCAAACATAACCCTTGTCCTTTTCTGTTAGATGTGTTATGAGCCAGACATCACTTTTTTTAAGGGAAAACATGTCATGTTATTGGTGCATGTTAAAAAATAAATAAATAAAAACTAAACCCTAAAGGCTTTTCATTGACATGTACATATTTCATTTGTAATCAGGCATTTCTGTCCTTTAACGGAGGCAAACTAATGGTTCTGTTAATTTTGATCGGGCACTGTTGTCCATTTGGAGTTGGTGGACTGAAACTGCATATTGGGCATACATTGACATAAACGAGGCTACGAGAGGCTTGTGTAGACACATTAAGGCTCAGCTAGGACATGTCAAAGTAAACATATCCATGTTTATAAGATTTAACTGTTCATATATATTCATTTGAAGATAAGGAATTAATGATCACTTAAATAGTCATATGTCTATAATCTATATGAGCTTTGTATTTCTCAAGACTGAAAATTCAGTTAAGATTTCATGTCCGTGATTCATTAGAATTGCATATAAGCTTTCCTTAAGTCTACCGAAACAGTCTCCATTCCAAAAGAAAACTGACCAATAATTTGTATCAAATACATATGAGCAAGCTGCATTTCTATTGTTAAAGCACCTTCTTCCTCCCAAAATAAACACAACAATTCCTATTCTTGTGATGTCCCAAAATAAATGAAATGTTTTTATTTTTCTAAGATAACCTCTTTTTCCCTATTGGCAATCGTTACAAAATATTGACAGCCCTTGATATTGGTCCACACGAACTCTTTTATCTTGTCACAATGAAGGCTCATTTTAGATAGTTGACTAATACTCAAACTCTTGAATCAGACTACGAGTCTAGTTGAAAATTACATTTATGATAGATTTCTCGTATTTTTGTTTGTCACCCTTTGGAAGGGGAGGGCATATCATGTTCCTCCGCTACTTTTTGTATCTGATTCATCATCTCTTTTTATGAATTCTTTCAAGTTTCAACTAGAAAAAGAAAGCCCTGCTATTTTCTAATAAAAGTTTATTCCATCACAGGAACTATACACAGGTGGTAATGACAGACAAATCCTCATTTGGTCTCCTCCCAAGCTGATTTCTGAAGATGTGGTATGTCTTTCCAGTTCCAAACCAAAGAACAAATACTTGCATAGACTCTTTGTCTAAAAATTAGACTCCCACCGTGCCATTAATTATGAATTTGAAACCATTGGGGTAGCTCAACTGGTTAGACATTCCCGTTTGAGGTTTTCCTTGCTGGTAACTTACCACTGTTACTAAAAAAGTATAACGAGTACTCGGAGTTTGTAACTAATGATATATGGTTTTTGTTGGTTTAGGATGAAGGGGATAGAAGAACAGGGCAGCCTCTGGCAGTTGACCAGGATAACTGGAGTGACTGAATCCATTAACAGCTATTGCTGCATTTCCACTTTCATGATCGAATTAATCTGTATGTATGTAGTTACGTATTCTACATTATGTATGTTAAAGGTGTTGGGAGTTATTTGGATTAGTACTGGTTTTGGGCTTCCTTTATATCATATGTACATTTCCAGATATTGGGATTTGTTTTACTGGGCTGTGATTACCAATGTATCATATCGGTTGATGTTCTTTTTACCAAACAACATAAGGGCAATGGAGGGAAGTATTCGTCTATTGAGATAGATAGAGGTAAGGTCTGTATATATTACTGAGTTTGTCTCATGACATGGCAGAGGACTTGTCTTCCAAAAAAAGCTGTGTGTCGAACTTCAGCCCCTTCGAGTTGGCCACGTGGCAACAATGATTTCATTTCAATTGTGTATAGAGGTGGTGGTGAGACAACTGTTTTATGCTAAAAAAAGCAACTCCATTATAAAATGATGCTCGTCTTCAGTCAAGATGATGAAGCCATCTTGGACTCATTTGTTGCTGCCAGGTATTTCATAGATTAGAGGATATGCATCACTCTCTTTCTCTTTCTCCGATCCCCATTTGTCTTTTACACCTATCTGTGAATACATATGTATTAGTAAGTTTCATATAAGAATAATATTTATTTAAAAAAAAAAGGAGAACCGTCGAGTCACATGTTATTTTTACACTAGCATCAAGTACAAAATCACATGTAATTCACGCGACCTTACCATGCGACCTTGCCGCATGGCCATAGTCTACACAATTTTTTGGTCGTCGATGTAAAATCAAATGTGATTTTGTACGTAATTTAGCCATTATCTTATTTTCTTAAATAAGTGTTATTTTCGTATGAACTTCCTCCCTCCTCTCTCTCTCTCTCTCTCTCTCTCTTTATATATATATATATATATATATATATAGGTAGGTTCAAACGAGAAACTAAATATTTTACTAGGAGACGATAAATTTCAATATCATATATGATTACATGTGTGATATACAAGCTTAATTATATATGATTAAACACATGTTGCATTAACAACATAGTCGCTTAGTCATATATGATTAAATATATCCAAAGGAGTGTCATCATATATATATATATATATATATATATATGTGTGTGTGTGTGTGTGTGTGTGGGGGGGGGAAGGTTCAAATGCAAAGGTACAAAGGGAAGGTCCATATGTAAATCATTGGTAAAGTGAAATGTTGGCTCACATGCATTGTTTCGAGCTTACCAATGATTCACATGAATCTTCGGTTCGTCCCTTCTTAATCTTTTTACTTCTCACTTGAAACTTCACCTACTTATGTATACACACATATATTCATGTATATATTTATGTAAATATATGTGTGCGTGTGAACGTATTTTGTTGCATTACAACTTGCAACATGAACATGTAACGTAATCAATGACATACACGAGTATATCTACTTTCCAAAAACCGTGTTATACCAATAGTCATGTCAATATGCCTACGCTACATCAACTTTTTTGATATTTAAATACGTGAGGAAGAAAATTATTTCTACGCTTGAAAAAAGAGTTTGAAATTCGTGAGAATGAGTGTAAAGTTGCCCAATGATTTTGATATTCATGCTTAAGAATTCCACTTCAACTATATACAAGTGCAACGACATATCTTGTGTGGCTTACACAAAACCACCCACCAACCTCCTCTTATCTCATTGCATCATTAAGTCACTTCCTTGTAACTTGGATAAACTTTAGATAAATTAATTCAATATTTTTAAACTGTCACCGCCTCCGTAAGTAGTAATTTTTCGGAGGGGTCAAAGTTTAAAAAAAGAAGTTTCTAAACAAAATCCGCAAGTACAAGGACTAAATCTATAAATTAGTGCCACACACGGACCTTTATCTAGTTTACCGATTTGCTCCATGCATTTGCGAACCACGTTCAATACCCTCTTTTTACATTTGTACCTTCTGCAAATTGAGGAGGTGCCACTTGTGGAAGTAATGATATTTTTGAAATTTGGGGAGAGAAATGACTAAGAAATGAATCCAAGGCCTGAAAGTGTTTATTTCTATTAGTTTTCCTAATGGTTAATATCGAGAATCATAAAGAATGAACCATCAGATTATGGACAGACTGGCATTTTATGAAAAGTATGTAAGCGTATATTTTTTAGAGGGAGAAACCATAGAATTTAATAATTATTATGGTATAAAAAGGAGATTTAGTATATATCAGGACTCAGGATCTACATAGTCTTTACATATTTTGATGAATTGATGTTACAGGCAATTGCACGTGCATAAATCTAAGATAAAATAGTATGATTGTTAATGTCTATAAGGAGGATCACGAGCACAGAGGTCGGTTCTGGGGGTGTGCTAGTTGTGCGGATACATCGGACCTTTGATCGCCCATGGTCATCTGATACTTTTTAATGTTACATATATTACAAATTAGAATATAAAGCAAAAAGGTACATATTAGCAAATGAATTGAATGACAACTAGTCTGATAAGTTGCTTTCTAAATGGTCGTTTACTAAACGCTTATTGAATAAACGCTTATTAATATGACTTATCTTACTGTTTGAGTATGAAAAGAGCTGAGAATCTAACTTGGTAAGAGACAACAATGACCGAGAGTCTTACTCGGTAAGTAAGGGAAAATACTTTTACCCAGTAAGCGCTTATCGGTTTAAAATGCTTACCAATAATCTATTTTGATAATTGAAAATGTTATACAATAAATTAAAGACGATCTCTTGTTAATAAACGATTACCCAATAAACATTTATTCAGTAAGCATTTGATACATAGGTCCTAAATAAGCTCAGAAGCAGGGTTCGAGCCAACACCCTTTATGATATTTTCCCAACCATTTATTTTTAAATATAATTTAAGATATTATATTATAATTTTATGATTTAGTTTTTTCTTTCTACCGGTCTCTTTAGGATTTATCGCTTTTTCTTCATGATCCCTACTAAACATTATAATATTTTGTAGGGATGTTTAGGATTGTTTATAAAAATAAGTTATTGACTTATTTCAGTGCAATACCGGTAATGAGTATTTTTGAGTGTTTGGATAAACAGCTTATAACGGTGCCAAACCGGTAATAAGAAGTTTTTGAAGAAGTTAAACCCTTATAACTTACAATAAGTTGATAAATGATTTTATAGAAAAACATAAGTTGTTTCAAATAAGCAATTCCAAACACCATCAATAAAATTTAAATTTTTTTCATTTAATTTAATTTAACAGATTAGATATTATTATTTGTAATTAGTTTCTTTCTATTTTTTTACAGTTGAAAACTTACGATCGTTTTCGTTCTAATTTATGTTAAACTTTTTATCCCTTTATAATATAACTCATAATTTTTCACAAATATCATGTCAAAGAAACATATCCAATCATAATTAAGAAACTAAAAGTAACAGTTTATTTAATTAATATCTGATTTAGTTGTTTCTAAATCTATTTCAAAAGAACATATATATATATATATATATATATATATATATATATAGAGAGAGAGAGAGAGAGAGAGAGAGAGTTTGTTTCAAATACAATTCATCGCATTTGTACAACCAATGCAACCCAATAAATTAAGATATTTATGGAAATGATGAGAGTTCATTTATTATGATTTAAATATTTATAGAAGATAATAATATGGGTCATTAATTATGATCAATACATTATATTAGGAAATAATCAAAACTTATATGAAATCACGTATTCATCAAATGAAATGAATGGTTGAGATTGAGTTGTATTGGTTGCACAAATGTCAAGGGTTGTATAATAACTAACTTATATATATATATATATATATATATATATATATATTTCAATTATGATGAACGGTCATGTCCCGAATGGTATCAGAGCCATGATTTATGTTCATAGGGAGGTAATGAGTTATGATATTTATGTTAATGAATTTGTCCTAGAGATGAGTTTGTTCCATAAGAAAATGAAATTTTATAATGAKAATTGGATATTAGCKTTGGTTAGCCTTAGACGTTGGAGTAGCGTAAGTCACGCACCAGGGAGCGTAAGACGTGCAGCCGTACCAGTCTAAAAGAAAGCCACTAATAGCTCAAAGATCATTAGAAAAATCTAATTTTCTTAGAAGAACAGTACTCAAATCTAAGCACAATTGAGTTAATATAAATAACATAATGAATTTATTCCCTAAAAGACATAATTCTGGCAATGAAATCAATGAAGAACAAGATCTTCATTTAAATTCATCAGAAATTCATATTAATGATATAAAACAAAGTTTATTAGACTGGACAATTCCAAAACAAAATATTAATACAATTTATAAAATAGGTCATTTTGATTTTTTTTCAAGGTTATTCAATTAAAGCAACAGAACAAACCTTATCAATTAATAAAGATTATGAAAATCTTAACCTTTTATCAAAAACTGTTATAATTCAACACAGAAAGAAATATAAGTTCTTACATGTTGGGGTTAGTTCAAGTAACAATCAAACCACTATTTAGACTAGGCATAGATGCCGCTGTCCTTTTAATTCTAAGAGATGCTAGACATACTAATTTTAAGAATTCAATATTAGCAATGGCAGAAACTAATATTTCTAATGGTCCAATTTATTTCAATTGTTATCCTAATTTCTCAATAGGATTATTTGATCTAAATATTCTAGATACTTTAGTTTTAACAATTAAAACTAAGAATTTAGAATTCAAAGAAGATACCAAAGCTGTCGCAGTTATTTATCGAATTTGTTACAAAACTATGTCTTCAACAATCGAGCCAAAGACTAAGATAGCAAGTCCAAAAAATAAAACCATAATATTTGAATCAAATCCCCTACACACTAAAGTTCAAATTCCAAAACGTCTTAAATGGAATGAAATTACTCAATCTTGCAACTGGAATCTCTAAAATATTCATCAACCTAAACAAATAGAAAGTTCTAATCAACACTCAAATATTACTGAACATGAAGATGGGTCAATAAATATTAATTTTGAGTCTTTTCCATTTGTTCCAACAAGATTTTCTATAAGATCAACCAGTAGCGTTGATATGAAAACACCTTTGATTTCAAAATCTAAATCTTTAAGATATGTAGACTTCAATACAAATATTCCAAAACCAATTTATCAAGAAAATGATTCTGAAGGATATAGTCCTACTCGTTCAGAAGTTTTATCTGAATTAAATAATTTCAAAAATTAATTATGAG